GCAAGGAACAATTCTTGTTAGAGTGCGAAAGACAGTTTCATAGTCAAAATTTTGAGATAGGGATACTTTCGTGATTTGTTCTAGAATATTCTAAAAAAATTTTGGCGTAATGTACTATACGCGACACATCATTATTGCACGCAATGAAAAAAATTAAAAATTAAATTCCGCCCAAAATTATGTATAATGCGGGCCAGAATTTTGTCGATCACAGTCGTTGGCCAATCAAAATCGAGGATCAGCCGCGGCACCTAAGGTTTAATGAATCCCGCGCGGGATTTTTGGAAAACCCGCGATTTACCCATCTCTATTTATTAGACATTACTTTTGCTCATTCATTTGTTAAATCTAGGCGTGCAAAGCGCCTAAATTAATTCGCTTTATTTATAAATTGTCCTAATTTTAAACCTAAAACACCAAGCATAAGAATTTACATTTACTTTCTCTGATCACTACTGACAATTTTTTGTATTAAATTATTTTTCATATATTTACGCAGGTTGGTTTATTTATTAACCAACTGATTAACCTATAGTTGCCACACAAACTATTTAGAACAACCATGTGATAAATATGAAAATTGTAAGAAATCAAATGGTAAAAAACCAAGGTAGTATTAGTTATCACAGTTTGAATGTCCCAAACAGTTTGGACGCCTTTTTTTTTTTTGACAGATCCAATCACTACGCAAAAGCATCAAGATTGTAAATTTGCTGATCTAATATTCTGTTCTAATCAAGAATTTTGTGAAATGAATAAGAAATTGGTATATATTAGAATAGTCCAGTCATTTTAAATTTTTCTAGGAATGTGTTTATTATTTTTCTCCAAATTGTCAAGTATCTTTGTCTCATTAATGTAAAAAAAATACAAGCTTGTATGGGCAGGTTTTATTATTACTTATATGATCATAAATACATACTAATGTAATTTTTATCTAATTGAAAGCCAGGTGTATTATCCAAAAGCCTTAGAGCTCATTTTACTTTCCAATCAGTTATCTCCTTTTCAGTCATCTCATTGAACATATCTTACATGTTTGCAATATCATCCTTAAATTCAAAATTGATCTTAGGCCTATTCAGAAATAGATCCAGCCCCTCTACCTTGTTTTCAAATGCCTCTCCATATTGCAAACGACGAAAGTAGTTGCACCTCATTCTAATAGGAAAATTAATGTCTGTGGTTGCTTTATCTTTGGGACCTTTAGCAAGTGCCATTTCGATAATTGCAAGTGCATCACGTGAATTAGCTCAAGACATCATGATTAATCTATCAATTGTAAGCCAATAGAATATCCATATATTATTTAAATTAGTGAGGACTATAAAAACAGCATAATTTGAAAGATTATTTGTCGCAATAAGGTTCGCAATAGCTTGATTAGTATCAGAATCTTGGACTTCTTTTTTTAGTCTAAACCCAGCTTGAATTTAAGAACGAAAATCTAGAACCTTATAATAACTTTCATTTATGACCAACATATCAGTTGTCCCACTTATACTATAAGGTAGTGAGGAATCGTTGATATTTAAAAGATCTTTCTTAGGTTTCAGATCATAACAGATAAATTTAGAGGGAATAGAGATATTGTCACTTAAATAGCTCATATATCCTCGTTTACACACTTGATCATAATCACCTTTCACATCTTTTGCATGCTGTTCTTCATTTCGTTCATCCCATATGAATTGTTCATCAAAATCCTTATCTGCTGAACTCAGCAATAATACTCATAGCTCGACGAAATTGCAAGTGGTTTAGCAATTCATCCAAATGCGTTTGGTCAATACTTGAGAGAGAAACATTTGGCCTTTTCGCTTGCCTGAAGCTAAACAAATAAGGAATTGAAAATGGCAAAAATAAGTGTTTTTGAAATCTGGATAATGATGAAACTAATCAGTAGAAATTAAATGGTCTAATATAATTAACTAATCAAGTATAGCATTTCAGGATCATAGCAACAAGTAATAATACACCACACTGATTAAAGATCTGGAGTTAACAAAAAACTAATAAAATGTCAGGGAATTCTTTAATCAATGATGGATATATTGTTTTAGGGGTATTTCTTATGAACATGTAGCAATATAAAATAGGATATCTGAGAGTATAATAATTTGGATCTTTAATTAATGCTGTATAGTGTTTAGAAACATGTTTACCTATCTATACAATCAGTCAATTGTTGCGCCTCTTCAGTGAACTTAATCATTTTGTTGAGATCTAGCCCTCCTTCCATATCTGCTTCTAATTAAATATTTGAAGCATAAAGTTAATAAAACGTCATTTTAAGCATATACATGATAACTATTTTGATAATTCTTTATACCTCACAAATAACAAAGATGTTTAAACATTTAATCATCCAATTTTTTCTCTCAACAAGTTAATACAAAAAGATCTTAGCCTGTAAAATTGGTTTTCTTCACTTACCATTGTAGTTTCGGCATTTTCCGTCTGTAATGCCGCGTGTCTATATTTGTACATTGTATAAAAAAATTATGCTCGTTTACGTATTTATGTAATTTGACAATATAAGCTTCGGATCTGGTTCATAGTTTTTAGGATAATTAATATATATATTTATTATATAAAATTACATTAGTATATATTTTATAAAAATTTACAATAGTTTACCTAAAGATTATATTATAAAAAGATAACTATGGTTGGTTTAATATAGTATAATATTTAATTTGTGACAAAAATTTTTATTACTGGATTAATAATATATTCTGTAATAAATACAATAAAATAAATAAGAATAGTAATTAAATAAATAATAAAAGAAATTAAATCTAAATATTAAAATATTAAATCATAATTTCAATTTGCTGTAATTATTTTTGACAAATAGTTGATTCACAAACATGAATAAAGTAATGAAAAATGTTAAAGCTAGAGAATACGCATAATTTAACTATATTTAATACTCATTTACAAAGGCTTATTGGATATCCATTTATTAAAGAAATCTAAGCTTGCAGCTGGCTGATCATGAACTGCCATATGCGCCGCATTGAAAATTTTTAGGAACGTAAGTCCATTGGATGTTCTAACATCTCCAGAGTAGGTACCAGAAGCTGTTATCCAGTGAGTAACATTTGCATTATTAAAACTTGCAGCACCGGTCCAATTAAGAGCTTTCGTCCATGCTTCATTACCTAAAAACAATTATTAATTAAAATTTAGCTCAAGATATTCTATATAAAATTCACTCAATTTAAAAAAATTTTATTAAAGGAGCAGATCACACTTCACTAAAGTGAGTTAGTACTTGTAATTGCTCCAAGACATTTTATAAATTTAGTAACAAATCCTTACCAAGCCAATTACAAAGATAGTCAGCATCACCTATAAAATAATTTTATAACAAATTAAATAAAAAAATTTCAACCAATTTAAAATAAAACTTGCATATCAATAAAATTACCAGCATATACTAATACTCGAATATTGTTTTCCAAGAGTGATGGAATATAACCGTCAAAGGGAAGCATCCTAAATTAAAAAAATAAAATTTATAAATATATTTGTAAAAGCTTTAACCACAAAATTAGATCAATTTTAACTAATTTATATTAATTGATTAATGTAGATTGCTTACCAATCACCAGAGTTAACGAAGGTGCTATTAACAGCAGTATTACATAGTTGAAAGTTAAACGAAGGATCAACCCCCAATTCAGTTTTAACAGCTGTACTATTAGAATATGCGTAGATATCCAAGAAAGTTGGATAGCAAGCAATGCCAGAACAATGTTGTCTTATATCCAAATAATTTATACCAGCATTTGTAAGGGGATCGATCATTGTACTAAAACATTGGCTAAAAGCATTCGTGCAATCTTCTGGACTTTTTGAATCGTAACATGTTTGTGTAGAATTAGCACATATGGGAAAATCCTCTCTCATCTGAGTACATGTGGCATTATCTAACACTGGATCATAAGGTGGATTGTTACAAGCAATATCTGGAAAGAATTTGAATTGCACTAGAGGGTTTATTAGACTATTTCCAATCAATATGGATTCAAGATTGATATTAGCATTGCTATTTTTGATCTTTGTGGCTAAGACGGGTATGTAATGTCCTCCATACCTGTAAATAATATATAAAAATAATTTTAGTTATCTTGTGATTTTTCATTTAGACAATATTAATAATATTAACAATATTAACAATATTAATAATATTAACAATATTAACAATATTAACAATATTAATAATATTAACAATATTAACAATATTAACAATATTAACATATTAACAATATTAACAATATTAACAGTACTTACGATTCACCAGCAATATGGAATTTTAACTTAGAATATTGAGGGAAATTTTGGAAAAAGATTTCTAAAAATGTGAGTACATCATCTTCAGCAGCTGAAGTAGTAGATACACCATCACCATAAGAGTATCCTGCATTAGTTGGCTATAAAAATAAGTTTATATTATAGGTTTATTATTAATAATTACATAAAATATATTGAGCCATAGTAAAAAAAATTCCTTTTCATACCTGATCCAAGAAAATCATGCTAGCTTTGTTATTCCATGAGTTAGGATTAGGTGTTGTACTATTTCCTCCTTGGTTGACGGAGCAAGGACCCATTTCATAGTATAACGAATTTATAGAAGAACATCTATTATATATAATTAAAATATAATTTACTGTTAATGATGAAATAATAATATCTGAATGTACATATAACCCAAAATTTTTCAGCTCAATTGACCGAATATTAATTTGATCGATGTTATTTAGGGTGGAGACACGGATCTCATGGTCACGAAGATGTGTTACTAATTTCTGTTAATAAAGGTGTACGTCTTTTATCTGCTCTCTAATTATAAAATGAATTTGTATAGTAATAACAGCTATCATTGACCAGAGTTACTTTTGGGGCTAGCTGCGGCTATGAATCGTCAGGACGATCATGAAAATTGCGGACATAATAATAAAAGATGGCGTAGATGCATAAAGTGAGGCGCGAATAAAGGGGTATGCATGGTGTCAATACTGTGGGTCTGTATCATCATCTTTTCTAAGTATCAGCGTCCCAGCATTGACACCAAACCTCTCGCCT